CCACCGTGGGGGGGGCAGCAGCAGCCGCGCCGCCGCCTTGGCTCGCCGGGATGAGAACCCCACCGCGGCTCCGGCGCCGAAGGCGTGGAAGGCGGCGAGCCCGCCGTCGGTTGGGCCCCGCTGTCCCAAGGACCAACATCCATGCGGCGCGCCCGCGAGCGGTCCGATCCCAAAGGGCGGGAGCGGCGGCAGCGCTGAGCCCTCGGGCTCCGCTAGCCCAGCGGGCGGCTCTGCCGTGGGCTCCAGCACGTCCGTGCAGGCGGAGGGCCTCGAGCTGCGCGCGCAGGCGTGCCACCTCTGCTCACTCGCCGCGGCGGCTGCAGCACCAGCCCAGCAAGCCGCTGCGCCACACCGTGCCCACAGTGCCAGCGCAGCCAATGCACGCGGCGCCTGCGAGGCGCTGGACCGCCTCACGGCCGCTCGGGGCGCCCGAAGCATGATTCAGGCCGATCAGCGTGAAGAGCAGCGTGACGAGGCCCCAGGCGACTGCTCACCACCGGTTTGACCTCTCGGGCGGGGGCGCAACAGACCCGTCATCAGACGGAGCAGAAGGCAATACCATGATCGATGCTACGCTGTGGGGCCAAGCCCCACACTGAAAGGACAACATGGCTGGGCTAAATGTTGAGCCCGGAAACAGCAGCAGCAGCAGCAGCAGCATCATCAGCATCATCATCATCATCATCATCATCATCATCATCATCATCATCATCATCATCATCATCATCATCATCATCATCATCATCATCAGCAGCAGCATCATCATCATCATCATCCTCATCAGCATCATCATCATCATCATCATCATCATCATCATCATCATCATGATCATCAGCAGCATCATCATCATCCTCATCATCACCATCAGCATCATCATCATCAGCATCATCATCTTCAGCATCATCATCATCATCCTCATCATCATCATCACCATCAGCATCATCATCATCAGCATCATCATCTTCAGCATCATCATCATCATCATCATCATCATAATCATCATCATCATCATCACCAGCAGCATCATCATTATCATCATCATCATCAGCAGCAGCAGCAGCAGCATCCTCACCAGCAGCAGCAGCAGCGTCCTCATCATCATCATCATCAGCAGCAGCAGCAGCATCACAATCATCATCAGCAGCATCATCAGCATCAGCATCATCATCATCATCATCATCATCAGTATCATCATCAGCATCAGCATCAGCATCAGCAGCATCATCATCGTTATCATCATCAGCATCATCACCATCAGCAGCATCATCATCCGAATAAGCATCATCATCATCATTATTATTATCCTCACCTTCATCATCATCATCATCATCATCATCATCAGCAGCAGCCTCTGCATCATCAGCATCGTCAGCATCGCCGTCATCATCAGCATCCTCATCCTCGTCCTCCTCATTGTCATCCTCGCCAACAACATCATCATCCGTATCGTCGTCATCATCATCACCATCATCACCATCAACATCAACCTCAACATAATCCGATCGTCATCGTCATCGTCATCGTCATCATCAGCACAACATCGTCGCTATCATCATCAGCCGCAGCATCATCAGCACCATCATCATCATCATCGTCGTCATCAGCATCACCATCACCATCACCATCATCATCATCATCATCATCATCATCATCATCATCATCATTGTTATCGTCATCGTCACATCTCCATCAACATTACCAGCAACAGCATCAACATCAGCATCCGCATCACCCGTATCCCCATCATCATCACAAAATACCGTCAAGATCGGTACCGTCATGATCGCCATTATCATCAGCATCCCCTGCATCATACTCGTCTCCTTCATCTTCGCTATCCTCGTCCTCGCTCGCCCCCCCCCCCCAATCTCGTGGCCGCCTGGCGGTCTCGTGCCGGAGGAGGAGGAGGAGGAGGAGGAGGAGGAAAAGGAGGAGGAGGAGGAGGAAAAGGAGAAAGAGAAACAAAAGGAGGAGGCGGTGAAGGAGAAGCAGGACGAGGAGGACAAGACCTTGATGGTTCATCGCCGGGCACGCTCTCTGGCTTCTGGGTTCGGCCATTCGGGTCAGCATGCTGACCCCCGTGGGCGAGGCGAAAGCAGCAAGAGGGGGAGCGGCGAGACAGAGGGCCAGACGATGCTGTACACGTGATGCAAGAGAGGTGGTGAAGGAGGAAGGAGCAGCAGGATGATCGAGGGTCGTTATCGAAGACGTCGTCGTCGTTGTGGTCGTCGTGGTCGTGGTCGTGTTCGTGGTCGTCGTAGACGTGTTCGTGGTCGTCGTCGTCGTCGTCGCCGCCGTCGTCGTCGTCGTCGCCGCCGTCGTCGTCGTCGTCGTCGCCGTCGTCGTCATGTTCGTGGTCGTCGTCGTCGTCGTCGTGGCCGGTGGTCGTCGTCGTCGTGGCCGGTGGCGTCGGCGAGGCGGCCTCCTGCGCCTTAGCCTGCTGCAGCCGCAGGCACGAGGCGCACTGCGGGCCGCCGTGGGGCCCGCACTGGCCGTCGCTGTTAGGGATACTGTCGACCCCAAGGCGGCGCCCGCAGTAGTACTTGCCTGGCACGGGTGCGACGAGAAGTCTCTGTCTCTCTCTCTCTCTCTCTCTCGCTCTCTCTCTCTCTCTCTATCTCTCTCTTTCGCTCTTTCTCTCTCTCTCTCTCGCTCTCCTTGTTGATTCTCTCGCTCTCTCTCTTTCTCTCTCTCTCTCTCTATTTTTCTTTCTCTCTCTCTCTCTCGCTCTCCCTTGCTCTCTGTCTCTCTCTCTCTCTCTTTCTCTCTCTCTCTCTCTCTCTCTGTCTTTCTCTCTCTCTCTCTCTATCTCTCTCTCTCTCTCTCTCTCTTTCTCTCTCTCTCTCTCTCTCTCTCTATATATATATATGTGTATATATATATATATTCCCCATCAGGCCAGCTTCTCAAGAGTTTCTGAAAACGAGCCTTGGGATGAGGGAGCCGCAACGATGTACAAACCCCTCTCTGGTGCCGCAGGCCTGCGAGGGCTGATGCCCGCAGACGGGGGCCCGCTCGGGGGTGCGGGTGCGACACGGAAGGGAAGGCAGCGGACGGAGGCAGTGCAATGCGCCCGAGGGCGCGCGCGCGCGCGCCCAGAACATGCGGCGCCCCGATGCGCCACGCGCCCAGGCCAGGAAAAGAACGCGAGCAGCAGATCGGAGGAAGGAAAGAAGGCCCATCAGCAGAGGAAACACGGGCAACGAGCTGCAGAGAAGGCAAGCAGTCCGTGCGGCCAAGAGCGAGCAAGAGCATCGCGACCGGCAACGCACCGGGTCCAATGTACTTCAAAAGATTGCCGTTCGCCGCAGCAGACGCCGCACGACCAAAAGCCGCGTCCGCGCAGGGAATCTTCCTTGACCACGTCGGCTCTGCCTTGAAATGACCAAGAGCAGCGAGTGTACACATCATTCTGCAGAATGACAGAAAGCACAGTGCCGCCCAAACGACCGCGGCCGCTGGCGCAGCAGCAGACTGGGGCAACCGAGACGGCTCACTCGAACTTGCGGGGGCCGCGCCTCCTGCGCGCGCTTGGCCTTCCGCGGCCGGGCAGGCTGCGCACTCAGCAGACACGCAGATTTTCTGGCGCTTTGCCTGCCTCTGCTGCGGGCGCTCGCCAGCGTGCGGCCAAGGCGGCGGCGGCGCGCCGGCCGCCCCAGGGGCCCCAGACGAGGCAGCCTTCTGCGCAGCCGTGTACTTGCGCACCGCGACGTCGCAGGGGTGGTGGACGTTGCGCTGCCAGGCGAAGATGAGTAAGAACAGCTCCTGGTGAATCGGGCTGGTGTTGCTGAGGACCGTCTGCCAAGGATTAGCGATGTGGAAGACCTGCTCCACGGCCTCCGTGTCGACGCCCAGCAGCTCGGGGTACGCGCGCGGATCCACGCCGGCGACGTACCAGCCCGAGGACGCAGCACGACAAGAAGTGTTTTTTTTTGCCCCCGAGAGCGATGCAAACTGCAGGTTTCTCCACTGACGGGAAGGAGACTCCGCCAAGCAGAAACTGCTGTGCATCCGCCCTCGGCTGCCGAGCCAACCAAAAGACGCGTCACGAAGCTCGGCCCCTAATAGCAAGCCTGTCCCGGCCACGTGGCCAATAGCTTGCTCCCCCAGATGATGCGCAGGCTCCCGTGAGGCCGAACATGTGAAGTGCAAACGGAATGCGCCACCCCCCTGGAGGCGCAGGGTCGGTCTGTTTATTCAGAGCGACAATGAACAGGGACAGCGCGAACGCGATATTCATCACGAGAAAAAGTGTGGTAGGTCCAGAGCAAGCGGTCACTAACCCACTGTAGCGCGGCCAGCAGGCCCCACGCAGCTGCGAGCGCCGGCGAACCGGCGTGGCTCCTGAATTTCTCCTTGAGAGACCTGACGACGCCGCAGGCGTTGTCGTAGATGACGAACAGCAGGTCGGCGAAAAAGCCATGGACGAAGGACACGAAGACGAGGAGCTGCGTGATGGATTCGGGCGAATACATCGGCCGCACAGCTGCAATCTGCAAGCACGGCGTCACGGCGGCCAATAGCCCGCTGCTCTTCCTGCGCGCGAAAGTCTCCGGGATGCCTTTACGGGCGCCCTTGTTGCACGAGGCAAGCTCGTCGGCCTGAGGCGAGGCCCGCTTCTGCAAGAGCGCGAGCTCGTACGCGCGGACCATCGGCACGGCCACCTCGCAAGAGGGGCGCCATGCGCCGTCCAACTGATACTCCAGGGTCAAGGAATCCGCGCCGACCTCTTCCCGATGCTCGAGGAGCGCGACCTCTGTTTTGGCCAGGACGTGTTGACGCGTTGCGTACATCGTACCTTGGACAGTGTGGCTCCAGACCCGACGATACACCTCAAATGTCGCCGTCATGCTCATGTCCCCCTGGCCGCGCATCCCAAAAAAAAGGGAGCAGTGTCTTTTCCCAACACACCTGAGGCGTAGCGAAAAACCACCGTGTAGGGTGACTTCAGACTCGCACCGAGGAGTGGAAGGAGCGAGGGAAGGAAGAAGACGGGTGGAGGAGGACAACGAGCGATGAGACACGGGAGCCGAATCTACCGATCGTAGCAGACACTAGCAGACGCTGATCAGCTTGAGGGCAGTGGGCTGCGGGAACGGGGCCCGAGACTTACCGATGAAGACCACCGGCTTGAACTGATCGGGGACGTAATCCTCTATGGCAAGGGTGTGCCAATTGTCAACGTTCGCCTGAAACCCCTGAATCGCACACCACGTTATCGTGCAGAGCTTCCTGCACCGAATAGGCCACTTTGTGAAGCCGCTGAAAGCGCCGATGAAGCTGTTGGCGAGCTCATTGCTCACAAAGTTCACGAAAGCGAACCCCTTGCTCTGGTGGGTCATCAAATCTATTGGCAGGTAGACATAATCGTATGTTCCTTCGAACCCTTCCCCATTCATCGCATCGATCAACTCATCGCGTGTGACACCGCAGGGCATATGTTTCACGATCAACGTAGTATAGTGCTTGCTATCAGTCGCTGAATGTCGGATGTCAGGATTAGGCCTCTGCCCTGGAGAGGCAAGGGCGCGGCAGAACGCGCCCGTCGTCTGTGGGCAGCCGGGAGCGAACACCGCAGCAGTGCAAGCCAAGGGCGTAAAGCTTCCGGCCCTGCTGCTGAGAGGCGTTCGTGCGCTGGAAGAGGCCGGTGCCTGACCACTCTGCCTGCCAGCCGGCGGCCTCTCGCCCAGCGTGCCCGGAAGATCGGCAGGGACGAGCGGAGTAGGTGACGACTGCCAACACAAGTAGTGCTCGGTCGAGCCGCAGCTGAGCGTATCATCCTCGGGCTCGTGTACGACGGCCGGGCCCGTCCGAATGCTGAGGCTGAGACTGCGACGGGCGTCGCTGCGCGTCTTGTTGTGTCTGAGCCGCGGACCACCGGAACCATCCTCGTTTGGAGTGCCCTCGTCCATGTCCTTGCCACGGATGGGAGGGCATGACTGAACTCGACGCATGCCACAGACAGAGGGTGCGAAGGGCTCGTCAATGCAGCTCTCGAACTCGAAGAACGTGTTCTTGATGATCAGGCGAACGTCCGCCATGACCAATGCGGGAGACTGCGTGCGTTCGAAAACCATGGTCGAACAAGGATACGTTCGGTCAGCTGCCCGCGTGCAGTGGGAGCCCAAACGTCTGAGGATGATGAAAATAAGACGAACGAGAAAGAGTCAGAATAGGAGGCAGATGGGGGAAAGGAGAACGGCGGGAAGGAGACGATGGTGGAGGAGGATGAGGAGCAGGAGGATACTCCTAGCACTGCTGCTACTTTACGATTGGCGCCCACAGCCAAGCTTCTTGACTGGCCCTGGCCATTCGTTTCACTGGTGACTGCGTCTCTTGGTTTGTTACTCCGCCAATACGATTTCGACATGTGCGAGCGCGCGTGGATGTTGTGGCACGTTCTGCAACGGTTTTTGAAAGCATTCTGACCTGAACGAGTGAGCGCGCATGGCTTCACTCGACGAGAATAAACGGGGGGTCGACCCCGGCCTGGCTGGGATGGTATGCTCTCGTATGGAACACGATGAAGCGCAATCATAACCGCATGCCCGCGACAAGAAAGCATCCCCCCTTTTCGGCGGTGGACAAACCTCCCTTCAGTAAACCTCCCCTTAGTAAAAACGACCTGGCACCGAAAACGACGGACCTGGACCCGCAAAAATGACGGCCGTGACGCCCTCTCGCGAACCGAAAACGGCCAATTCCTCAATCGATGTGTCAGGGTAGGAGGTCTATCCACCTCCGACCTTTACCCCTGAGCCATGACTACCCATGGGAGACACATATTTGATCGGCGGGCGGAGCGGCGAGGCCGAACTCCACTGCCACCAGGGGAAGCACGAATCGTACCTTGAATCACCTTCTCACGATTACCCTGGGTTATCTGAGTGTGCTCTCTCTGTAAGGAGGAGAACCTCTGCTGCGCCAGCCATGCGGTGCAACTACGTGGTGCAGGCTACGCGGGCGCCCACGAGAGCGCCAGCGAGGCGCCCATGGGCGGCCGCGGGCGCGCGCCAAGAGAAACCCTGGCGGAACCACGCAGCGCACGGGGCGCCCACGAGGCGCTCGCAGGCGGCAACAGGCAAAACCCAGGCGGACCCGTCCAGCTCCTTTTTGGCGAACCAGGCCCAAAACCCGAAGTGCAAGCACTACCTCTGGAATTAAGTCACTGAACGATCGATCGAACAAGAGCAAAATCCGGGAATATGCGCACAAAACAGCCACGAGACGGCGCAAGGACAATCGCAACACTACCCCACAAAACGGAAAGCCTCGGCACCCAGGCCAATCTCCGCACAACCTGACAACCACGGGACAATCCAGGCACACCCGCACCCCGCGCCCACACAGGCTACGCAAACTGAGACCGAAATCGAGCTCGCAGTGGGGGCTCTCGATGTTTCACGTCTGTCTCACCCCCCGACACCTCTGACTGAATTACGTATCCCGCACCCACTGATTGCTCTGAGGACATCTTCCGTTGGAAGCCCCTTTGGCCGAAACTAGCTCCGACTAGCACCAACTGGCCGCGTGCCCGCGTTTTTTGAAATTCCGCTAGCCGCGACTACGACCGAGCGGCACACCCTGCGCACCACCACCTGCTCTTGAGGAAACGGAAACGGAAACGGATCGCCTGTGCGGGCATGCGCCCAGGCCCCTTTAAGGGCGAGGCGGGTGAGGCCATGGCATCGCATGAGAAGCTGCGCGCGTCGGGGGTCTACTCAGGACAATGTGTACTTCGGGAGCTGATTCCCCGAGAGTCCCCACTCATCCGTTTTCTCATGATGTAGCCACGTCGTCTCGTTGAAATCGTAGTTATTGTGGTGTGAGACTGCCGGAGAAACCCGTGGGTGTCATCGTCCTTTCTGTGATCTCGAACTCATGGCAAAACACGTTCGAGCTGAACTCCTCGGACCTCCAATCCACTGAACACGGGTGTGGGAGCACTGGTGTTCTCATGAACTCTGTGTCACTTCCTTCAGGTCCCACTCAAGAAACAGATCACCACGTGTAATCGAAGGCCCATGCGCGCTCTGTGACACACCCAAGAGATCAGCTAGAGGTGGATTGGTGGTGGAAGTGGGAAGTCAAATGTGAGAGGTTGGAGGTCTGAATGTTGTGCTGGTGGAGGTTGGTGGTTGATTGGTGGAGGTGAAGTCGAGAGTCGGAAACTGGAGGTTGGGGGTTAAAATTCTGAGTTGATGGACGCCGAAGCGGTGGACAGAGTTTGCAGTGGAGGGTTGGATGCTAGACGCTGGAGGTCGATTGATGGAGGTGGGAGTGGAAAGTCGGATGCGCGAGGTTGGTGGTCGGAGTGCTGAGCTGGTGGACTCTGGAGGTCGATAGGTGGAGCGGGAAGTGGAGATGTGTACGCTAGAGGTTGAAGGTCGTACTATTGAGATGATGGACGCTGGAAGTCAGTAGGTCGATGCGGAGGTGTAGAGTCAGACGCTGGAGATTGGAAGTCGGAGTGCTGAGCTGGTGGACGCTGGAGGTCGATAGGTGGAGCTGGAAGTGGAGAGGTGGACGCTAGAGGTTAGCGTCGGAATGATGAGCTGGTGGGCTCTGGAGGTCGATAGGCGGAGCTGGATGTGGAGAGACGGACGCTAAAAGCTTGAGGTCGGAATGCTGAGATAGTGGGCGATGGAGGTCGGTAAGTTGAGGTGGAAACGGAGAGCCGGATGCTCACAGCTGGAGGTCGGAATGCTGAGCTGGTGGGCGCTGGAAGTCGGTAGGTGGAGGTGGAAGTGGAGAGTGGGATGCTGAAAGCCGGCGGATGGAATGCTGAGCTGATGGACGCAGGAGGTCGGTAGGCGGATGCGGGAATGTAGAGTCGGATGCTGAAGATTGGAAGTCGGAATGCTGCGCTGATGGGCGTTGGAGGTCGATAAGTAGAGAGTCGGATGCTAAAAGCTTGAGGTCGGAATGCTGAGATAGTGAGCGATGGAGGTCGGTAAGTGGAGGTGCAAACGGGGAGTCGGATGCTGGAGATTGGAAATCGGAATGATGAGCTGGTAGACGCTGGAGGTCGATAGGTGGAGCTGGAAGTGGAAAGGTGGGTGCTAGAGGTTAGCGTCGGAGTGATGAGCTGGTGGGCTCTGGAGGTCGGTAGGCGGAGCTGGAAGTGGAGATTCGAATGCTAAAAGATTAAGGTCGGAATGCTGAGATAGTGGGCGATGGAGATCGATAGGAAATGGAGAGTGGGATGCTGAAAGCCGGCGGATGGAATGCTGACCTGATGGACGCAGGAGGTCGGTAGGCGGATGTGGGAATGTAGAGTCGGATGCTGAAGATTGGAAGTCGGAATGCTGCGCTGATGGACGCTGGAGGTCGATAAGTAGAGGGTCGCAGAATAAAAGCTGGAGGTCGGAATGCTGAGATAGCGGGCGCTGGAGGTCGGCAGGTGGAGGTGGAAACGGAGAGCCGGATGTTAGAAGCTGGAGGTCGGAATGCTGAGCTGGTGGGCGCTGGAGGTCGGCAGGTGGGGGTGAAAGTGGAGGGTCGGATGCTAGAGATTGGAAGTCGGAGTGCTGAGCTGGCGAAGGCTGGGGGGTCGATAAATGGAATTGGAAGTGGGGAATCGGATTTTTTTGAGGCTGCAGGTCGGAATGCCGAGAAATGGCGCGCTGGCCTCCTACTCAGGAGCATGCGTACCGTACTTCACAAAATCGCGTTCCAACTGCTCCCACTCCTGTGTCGTAGCCGGTTGGAGCCACGTGGTGTCGTTTGATCGCGGTGCCTTCGCGGTGTCTGGCGTCGGTTGTCTGCGTCGTCGTTACGCTGGCGTAGGAAAGCGCGGATATCATCGTCCCATCTCTTCCACTGTCTTCCGTGATGACGCGGTCTTGTCTGGGAAGCCTGAAGTCTCGGGTGCCTATGAACAACACGTTTTGGCCATGTGGTAGTTGCTGCACAACGCGAGCTGCGCATCGCCATACCATCTTTCTTTGCATTGATGCCCAGTCGTGGAGTTTATGTTTGTTCATGAGGCCTCCGCTTGTCGAGTCGTTCGTTTGATGTATTCAATCCATGGCTCCAGACCGTCGCCACCTGGTTGGTTGTCCTGGTTCTCGTCGGTATCGTCGTGATCTGTGTCGCTGGTTTCGTTGCTCAAGTGGGCGGTCGGTGGGTTGCTGCCCACATCCTCTCCGTCGGTGCTGCGCGCGTCAGATGCCATAATTGGCGTCGAAAGCGGCTCTTGTGTGTCGGTCGCCCCGGGCGTTGGTTTGACGTCGGCGCTTCGCCGTCGAAGTGTGCCGGTGACCATGCGCATCATGCGCCGTTGCGTGCGTTGTAGCTGCTGTCGCAAAGGCTCGGTCAACGTCCAAGTGCCTGCGCCGTAGAAGACTGTCGGCGTTACCGTGCCGTCAAAAAGACGGAGTCGTTGCTTCAGCAAATAATGTGTTCCTGTGAGCTCTTGTCTGTGACTTGTGAAAGTGCCCCACCCTGCCTTGAGGCGGTTCTTCACTTCTGCGGCGATTGTGTCGTCGAAGCTGTTGCGCTGACCCAAGTACTTCACTGACCCACAGTATGGTAAGATCTCGAGTTCGAGGTCGTCGATTACAACGTTTTGTTGACGTGCTCTCCCCATGCGTTCTGACAAGTTGGACAGGATCTTCGTTTTGTCGGGGTGTATGTGAAGTCCATGCGTTTGTGCTGCTGCGGCCATGTCCCTGAGCATCGCGGCGAGGCGAGGGAGCGTCCGACTTACAAGGGGAATGTCGTCAGCGAAGCGAAGGTTCGTGAGACAACTTTGTTGTGAAAATCCCAGTTGGACTCCTTGGGTGCGCTGCTGCCCTTTGGCGACGAGGGGTTTCATGGTGTACTCCAGGAGCGACTTGAAGAGCAGCGAACTGAGCGGGTCACCCTGTTTTGTGCCTCTCAGTAGATGGAATGGGCGGCTGGTTGAATATGTTTGCACTGTCGCTGTTTGCACAGAGTAAAGCCGCTTTAGCAAGTGGATGTAGTCTGCTGTGACGCCCTGGCTTTCAAGTGCCGCCCAGAGGCTTTCGTGCTCCACAGTGCCGAATGCTTTCTTCAAGCCGAGTGCCGCGATCCAAACGGGCTGGTTCCACTCGCGCGCTCTTTCTCGGAGAACGTGGAACGTAAACGAGTGGTCTTGCGTGGACCGCCCGGGGCGGAAGCCTGCTTGGTCTGGAGGTTGCTGCCTGTCTAACTGTGGCTGCAGTCTGGAGCACAGAAGTTTGCTGAAGAGCTTGTATACTGATGGTATGCTGCATACTGGTCGGTAGTTCTGCGGTTGCGCAAGGCCCCCTGCTCTGGGAATGACTGCGACGACCGTCTGCCGCCAACCTTGCGGGGTTGGAGCACCTGGTCGGAGGATGGCGTTGTAGAGCAGCAAGATAGCTTGTTTCAGTCCTGGCGGCGCAAGTTTCAACATGTCCGCACTGGTTCCGCTCTGGTCGGGTGCTTTGCCACGCTTGAGGGTGGATCGTGCTTTGTCGAGCTCTTGCGGTGTAAACGGTGGTATGGCGTGGCCGTCGTGTTGTGGTAACGCGGCCGGTCGAGTGGAGTGGTAAAGCTGCTCGTAGAAGTCCGCAAACACGTTTGCAATGGTCTCTCTGTCTGTATACATCTCGCCATCCGTTCCACGCATTCCTGCGATGAGCGTGCGCCGCCGTCTCGATTTGATCGCAGCGATTCGTTTCAGCCCCTGGTATTCGCCCAACCGTTTACCAATCTGTGCTCGTCTTGTAGCCCGTTTGTTGTGTCGGATCTCTTGTCGGATTTGTTTGCTGATGTGCTATCGCGCTGTCGTGTATTGGTTGGGCGTGCTGTGTCGTCGTTCTATGAGTTCTTGCAGGTGCGCCTGGGTCGGGGGGCGTTGTTGGACTCGGTTGGGTGCTTTTATGCTCGTCGATGCTGCTGTCACTATTATGCTTTGGATGTGATCGTTGAATTCCTCTGGGCGTCGCGGTAGGTCTGTAGCCGTGATTTTGCCCGTGGCTGCCACAATGTACATTATGGTCTCTATGTCGTTCCATCCGCAGGTGATCGTGTTTCGTGGTGCTCTCGTTTGTTTCCGCCTGTCGCTTGGACGCCGTGGTAAACAAAACTGCGCGGACACAGCTTTATGGTCGGAGCCCAAATCCAACGTGTTGTTTGCCTCTGCGTAACGACAGCAGCGGAACAAACGCCTGGAGGTCAGGATGTAGTCGATCTGCTTCTCGGTGCCGTTGTTGCGCGTGTACGTCGTCAGTTTCGGCACTTGCTTGCGGAAGAAAGGGTTGACAGCAACCAGGCGCTCCTTGGATGCCCACGCTCGTAGCAGAGCTCCTCTTGAGTCGCACTGCCCGCACGTGTGTTTACCAATGTGTCTGGAATCAACCATGAAGTCGTCGTTGAGCTGATCGTCGTCGTCGTGCGTCGGCGGGGCTGTCTCTAGGTGCCCAACTTGTGCATTGAAGTCGCCTGCTAAGACTGTGATGTACTGTTATTTGCGTGCTTCAGCGTGGAATGCAGATATGAGCGTGCACATGGTTTGAACGCGGTGGTCGGAGTACCCCGCGTGCGGAAAATACGCGGCAATCAACATTAGCTTGACAGAGCCTCGTCGTATGTGCATCGTTGCCAATCTTGGGCCCATGGCTTGGAAGTTCTGGATGTGTTTCTTCCATCGCTTGTGCACTAGAATCCAGACTCCGTAGCATGGTTGTTCATGGCCGGAGCCTACAAACATATGGCCATCCGTGGTTTCCCACATCTCTGAGCTCGATGTCCTCCAAGTCTCGTTGAACAATACCATGTCCCAGTGTGTCGTGCGTAGCTCGTTGATGGCCTCATCTATGCGGTCGTCGTTCAATGAACGTGCGTTCTTGTGTATGATCGTAAGACTGTCATCCGTATCTTGAGTTGTCGTAGATGTGGGTTATTGTGGGTGCTGGGAGGCGGACCATGGTGGTTGGAGGTCGACTGGTGGAGGTTGCGAGTCGGCGGGTGTCGGTCGAGCGTTGGAGGTGGATGAGGTTGGATCTTGGAAACGGAACTTGGCTGTGGGGGGTCGATTGGTTGGGTCGCCCGAGCCTGGCTGGAGTCGGATCTCGCGCGTCGCTGCTGAAGAATGCAAAACGGGACGTCACTGGACACGCCGTCGTAGGCATTGCGCCCTCCTCCTTTTCCTCCCCATGTCGGACCCTGGAGTTCGATAGGTGGAGCTGGAAGTGGAGAGGTGGATGCTAGAGGTAGGAGGTCGTAATGTTGAGCTGGTGGACGCTGGAGGTCAGCAGGTGGATGTGGAAGTGTAGGGTCGGATGTTGGAGATTGGGAGTCGGAGTGCCGAGCTGGTGGACGCTGGAGGTCGATGGGTGGGGCGTGAAGTGGAAAGGTGGATGCTAGAGGTTGGAGGTCGGAGTGCTGAGCTGCTTGATTTGAGTATCGGCAGGTGAATGTGGAAGTGTAGAATCGGGCGCTGGAGATTGGAAGTCGGAGTGCCAAGCTGGCGGGCCCTGGAGGTCGATAGGTGGAGCTTGAAGTGGAGAGGTGGATTCTTCAGGTTGGAGGTCAGAGTGCTGAGCTGGTGGGCTCTGGAGGTCGATAGGCGGAGCTGGATGCGGAGAGTCGGACGCTAAAACCTGGAAGTCGGGATGCTGAGGTAGTGGGCGTTGGAGATCGATGGGTGGAGCTGAGTGGAGAGGTGGGTGCTTCAGGTTGGAGGTCGGAATGCTGAGCTGGTCGACTTTGGAGGTCGATACGTGGAGCTGGATGCGGAGAGTCGAACGCGAAAAACTGGAAGTCGAAATGCTGAGGTAGTGGGCGTTGAAGATCGATAGGTGGAGCTGGAAATGGAGACGTGGATGCTAGAAGCTGGAGGTCGTGATGTTGAGCTGACGGACGCTGGAGGTCGGCAGGTGGAGGTGGATGTGGAGAGTCGGATGCTGGAGATTGGAAGTCGGAGTGTCGAGTCGGTGGACGCTGGAGGTCGATAGGTGGAACTGGAAATGCAGAGGTGGATGCTAGAGGGTGGAGGTCGGAATGCTGAGCTGGTCGACTCTGAGGGTCGATAGGTGGAGCTGGATGCGGAGAGTCGGACGCTAAAACATGGAAGTCGAGATGCTGAGGCAGTGGGCGTTGAAGGTCGATAGGTGGAGCTGGAAATGGAGAGGTGGATGCTAGAGGTTGGAGGTCGTGATGTTGAGTTGATGGGCGCTGAAGGTCGGCAGGTGGGGGTAGATGCGGAGAGTCGGAGGCTGGAGATTGGAAGTCGGAGTGTCGAGCCGGTGGACGCTGGAGGTCGATAGGTGGAGCTTGGAGTGGAGAGGTGGGTGCTTCAGGTTGGAGGTCGGAATGCTGAGCTGGTCGACTTTGGAGGTCGATACGTGGAGCTGGATGCGGAGAGTCGGACGCGAAAAACTGGGAGTCGAAATGCTGAGGTAGTGGGCGTTGAAGGTCGATAGGTGGAGCTGGAAATGGAGACGTGGATGCTAGAAGCTGGAGATTGTGATGTTGAGCTGACGGACGCTGGAGGTCGGCAGGTGGAGGTGGATGTGGAGAGTCGGATGCTGGATATTGGAAGTCGGAGTGTCGAGTCGGTGGGCGCTGGAGGTCGATAGGTGGAACTGGAAATGGAGAGGTGGATGCTAGAGGGTTGGAGGTCGGAATGCTGAGCTGGTCGACTTTGGAGGTCGATCGGCGGGGCTGGATGCGGAGAATCGGACGCTAAAACCTGGAAGTCGAGATGCTGAGGGAGTGGGCGTTGGAGGTCGATAGGTGGAGCTGGAAATGGAGAGGTGAATGCTAGAGGTTGGACGTCGTGATGTTGAGCTGACTGACGCTGAAAGTCGGCAGGCGGGGGTAGATGTGGAGAGTCGGATGCTGGATATTGGAAGTCGGAGTGTCGAGCCGGTGGATGCTGGAGGTCGATAGGTGGAGCTTGGAGTGGAGAGGTGGGTGCTTCAGGTTGGAGGTCGGAATGCTGAGCTGGTCGACTTCGGAGGTCGATACGTGGAGCTGGATGCGGAGAGTCGGACGCGAAAAACTGGAAGTCGAAATGCTGAGGTAGTGGGCGTTGAAGGTCGATCGGTGGAGCTGGAAATGGAGACGCGGATGCTAGAAGCTGGAGGTTGTGATGTTGAGCTGACGGACGCTGGAGGTCGGCAGGTGGAGGTGGATGTGGAGAGTCGGATGCTGGAGATTGGAAGTCGGAGTGTCGAGTCGGTGGACGCTGGAGGTCGATAGGTGGAACTGGAAATGGAGAGGTGGATGCTAAGAGGGTGGAGGTCGGAATGCTGAGCTGGTCGACTTTGGAGGTCGATAGGTGGAGCTGGATGCGGAGAGTCGGACGCTAAAACCTGGAAGTCGAGATGCTGAGGTAGTGGGCGTTGAAGGTCGATAGGTGGAGCTGGAAATGCAGAGGTGGATGCTATAGGCTGGTGGTCGTGATGTTGAAATGACGGACGCTGAAGGTCGGCAGGTGGGGTCAGATGTGGAGAGTCGGATGCTGGAGATTGGAAGTCGGAGTGTCGAGCCGGTGGATGCTGGAGGTCGATAGGTGGAGCTTGGAGTGGAGAGGTGGGTGCTTCAGGTTGGAGGTCGGAATGCTGAGCTGGTCGACTTTGGAGGTCGATACGTGGAGCTGGATGCGGAGAGTCGGACGCGAAAAACTGGAAGTCGAAATGCTGAGGTAGTGGGCGTTGAAGGTCGATAGGTGGAGCTGGAAATGGAGACGCGGATGCTAGAAGCTGGAGGTTGTGATGTTGAGCTGACGGACGCTGGAGGTCGGCAGGTGGAGGTGGATGTGGAGAGTCGGATGCTGGACATTGGAAGTCGGAGTGTCGAGTCGGTGGACGCTGGAGGTCGATAGGTGGAACTGGACATGGAGAGGTGGATGCTAAGAGGGTGGAGGTCGGAATGCTGAGCTGGTCGACTTTGGAGGTCGATAGGTGGAGCTGGATGCGGAGAGTCGGACGCTAAAACCCGGAAGTCGAGATGCTGAGGTAGTGGGCGTTGGAGGTCGATAGGTGGAGCTGGAAATGCAGAGGTGGATGCTAGAGGTTGGAGGTCGTGATGTTGAGCTGACGGACGCTGGAGGTCGGCAGGTGGGGTCAGATGTGGAGAGTCGGATGCTGGATATTGGAAGTCGGAGTGTCGAGCCGGTGGATGCTGGAGGTCGATAGGTGGAGCTTCGAGTGGAGAGGTGGGTGCTTCAGGCTGGAGGTCGGAATGCTGAGCTGGTCGACTTTGGAGGTCGATACGTGGAGCTGGATGCGGAGAGTCGGACGCGAAAAGCTGGAAGCCGAAATGCTGAGGTAGTGGGCGTTGAAGGTCGATAGGTGGAGCTGGAAATGGAGACGTGGATGCTAGAAGCTGGAGGTCGTGATGTTGAGCTGACGGACGCTGGAGGTCGGCAGGTGGAGGTGGATGTGCAGAGTCGGATGCTGGATATTGGAAGTCGGAGTGTCGAGCTGGTGGGCCCTGGAGGTCGATAGGTGGAACTGGAAATGGAGAGGTGGATGCTAAGAGGGTTGGAGGTCGGATCTCGCGCGTCGCTGCTGAAGAATGCAAAATGGGACGTCGCCGGACACGCCGTCGTAGGCATTGCGTCCTCCTCCTGCTCTAGAGAAGGGCGGCAAAGATTGATCGCAAGCCCCTGACACCGTGGCAATTGGAGTGAAGCTTCGCACGCACAACGAGACATGGAAGACAGGATGACGAAGCTCCAGGCTCGGATGTCAGTGAGGGGCTGGTCTGAAAAAGATGTGCACGCCTCCGACCTCAAATCTCACTTCGAAGCCTGACAGTAGACAAAAACTCATGGCAGTCTGCGAAGGACTCGCAACCTTGACGCTTTATAAGCAAACCAACGCCGCATGCGTAGAAATACACCCATGTCCATCACTCCCTCGATGCGCTAGTGTACAGAATCGCAAGGGGAACGAACTGCAGAGACGTAGCGCGGACGAAAATCAGGGCTCTCCTGTCCATCGTCAGATTCATCGTCGTCATCTTGCGCCGAAGGGCCAAGCAGAAATCCGCTTGACCCTGCAATGACCAGGGCCTCCTAGCTAAGACGCGTAACAATCGAAGGTCACCTCAGCACAGTCTGACATCGATTCACCTTGGGAATTCCGTGGGTGTGGTTGCCTGCCCCCTCCACGTGCTTAAGGCTGCACTCCCCTCCGAATTCTGAAGTGAAAAGAGCGTACGAAACTTCAGAGGCAACTCATAATGGCTTTCGGCACTCGGACAGCGTGCGTGCAAGCAGTACTTGCCGTCATCAATCGGCGTGGGTACACAAAACGGCCCTCTCCCTCAGAAAGCGGTGGTTGCACGGTACGTCGACAAAATGTTGCCCCACCTGGTGCCCGCGACATCAAACGTCGTTGTGCAGTCAACGGTTCGTGCTCGCTCCCCCGCTCACCCCAATCTAATATTGGCTACGGGCCGGGATCACGGAAACAGCTCAGTGGTGCAGCATTATGCTGGGCGCCTGGGAAATCCGGAGGAGCTCATGCTCGCATGCCCCCAATCTTAAATTGGGGGGAGGGGGGAACAAGGTTGAAGCTTGCGTGCGAAGAACAGCACAAAGCGGTGCAACATTTTGTCGATGTACAGTGCCCCCGAGCGAGGGGTATCCTTCCCGCGAAGGGCGCGCCCAGCTCAAGTGGACTGGCAGGCTTGCTGCGAGCTGTCAGCTCAGAAGAGGGGGGCAGCGGGATGAATATGTTTTCCTTCTTGGGCGCAGTCGTGCTGTCATCACTGGCCTGTTGTACCGAAACACCTCGGGGCGAAAACCGAACGACCAGCATCCAAGAAACGAAGGCCGTGTGGGGAAGCGCTTCCCTTGCCTCTGGATTGGGCCAGAGGTCCCTCTGGCGAGGAGACGCCTCTTCGATTTTAGATGGGTCAGTGCATCTGGCTTCTCGATGGGCAACATCCCCAGTCGCAGGTTCATGAGACCGATCAGCCCGTACTGCATGTCGACAGCATTCCACGCGTCCTGACTGTGTGGTAAGAGCAGGGATGAAAGTACAAACAAACCTTGACCAGAAAATGATGAGCCGCAAAGGAAAACAAAGAGTGCAAATCCGCCTACCCTTCGCCGTGCGTGACACGCGTTTCCGTTTTCGCCGTTGTCGCCGTCGCCAGTCCGAAGGAAATTGAAAAAAACCTTCCACGTCTCTCTTCCCTGACGGGGGAGGCGGGGGGGGGATGCGGGGGGCGGTACGGGAGGGGATGGGGGGGGGTCCCGGGTCAAATACCGCACACACTCACACAGACACAGGGTCCCGGCGGGTCCGGGGGGGGGTCGCCAGCGGGAGTCCTGTCGATGGTCCCTCCCCAGAATCCTGCGGATGCTCCCCCGCGGGCCTCCTTGGATCCCGAGGCAGAGAGGGAGGGAGGGAGGGAGGAGGGAGAGAGGGAGAGAGGGAGGGAGGGAGGGAGGGAGGGAGCTGGGAAGCCTGGACGGAGGAAGGCTCCCCAGGGGGGGTGGCCCAGGGGAGCTGGGGCTCAGGCTCAGGGGGGGGTCGAGGGGGGCGAACCACCACGGACCACGACGAAAATAAAGATGTCCGAGCTCTAGGGCACAGCTGTGCAAGAGAATACGTAGCACCCCGCAATTGCGGATAAGAGTGAGGGGGCGGGCGCGGGCGACGCGGGCGTCGTCGAGCCGGCGGACCTCGTGGCCCCCACCTTCCTTGTCGATGGCGCTCTCCTCCTCCTCCTCCTCCTCCTCCTCCTCCTCCTCTTCCTCGTCCTCATCGTCATCGTCATCCTCCTCCTCCACCTCGTCCTCCTCCTCCTCCTCCTCCTCTTCTTCCTCGTCCTCCCTCTCCCCCCCTCGTCTTTTCATCATGGTCCTCCCATTGTCGTCCTCCCCCTCATCGGCCTCCATCATCGTCCTCCCATTGTCGTCATCATCATCATCATCCTCCCCATCCTCCCCCTCCTCGTCCTCCTCCTCCCCCTCCTCCCCCTCCTCCCCCTCGTCCTCCTGCTCCTCCTCCTTTTCTTTCTCCACGTTCTCCTTACATCCTCTCTTCTTCCACGTTCTCCTCGTCCCCTGTTTACTCATCCTGCCTCCCCCTCCTTTCCCAAGATAACTGCAACGCAATCCTTTTTTCCACTTTATGCTCCCCGCCTTCTCTGATCAAGGCAACTCGCCAGGGCAAAGTTGCTGGACGGGCTGGCGTGGATGTGCGGGGCGTGAAGAGGTCCTTGCGGGCTCAGACGGCATGCAAGAATCCGCCGCCGCGCTTGTGCGGCATTGGTTTGTTCAGTGAACGTGGTTTAGGTCGCGGGTGGGTCGCGGGCTCTCCACCTCCACCTGGAAGGAATGCAAAAGCAGCCCGCCGCAAGCGCCAAAAAAATTGGTTCGTACACGGAACGAGGTTTGGGTCGCGGGTGGGCCGCGGGTTCTCCACAGGGAACGAATGCAAAGGATGCCCGCCGCAGGCGCCGAAAATGTGGTTTGTACCCTGAACGTGGTCGCGGGTGGGCCGCGGGCTCTCCACCTGAAACGAATGCAAAATATGCCCGCCGCAGGCGCCGAAAAATGTGGTTTGTACCCTGAACGTGGTTTGGGTCGCGGGTTGGTCGCGAGTTGGTCACGGGATGTGTCGCGGGCTCTCCACTTGGAAGGAATGCAAAAAAGCCCGCCGCAGGCGCCGAAAATTGTGGTTTGTACCTTGAACGTGGTTTGGGTCGAAGGTGGGTCGCGGGTGGGTCGCGGGGTAGGTCGCGGGTGGGTCGCGGGTGGGTCGCGGGTGGGTCGCGGGTGGGTCGCGGGTGGGTCGCGGGGTGGGCCGCGGGTTGGGTCGCGGGGTGGGTCGCGGGGTGGGTCGGGGTGGGTCGCGGGGTGGGTCGCGGGGTGGGTCGCGGGTGGGTCGCGGGTGGGTCGCGGGTGGGTCGCGGGGTGGGTCGCGGGGTGGGTCGCGGGTGGGTCGCGGGGCGGGTTGCGGGTGGGACGACGACAACAAACAACAACAACAACAACAACAACAACAACAACAACAACAACAACAACAACAATTACTAGCACGTGGGGACACTCCGTTCTCACCAGTGCCAGGGTTTTCATAGGAGGCGGGCAATACCCCCACTTTGTGGGGGGGCCGGTTCAAGCTCTACCAATTTCCAAACGACTCTTCGCCACCACCCACACCCAGCTTCCCGCCCTATGACGTTCGGACACTTCACTTCGTGGCCTGCGGACGACCTTGGCTACTACACTGGCGCATGGGTACAGTGACTTGTTGTGGTAACATTTTGTGGAAGCTAGCTTAGTATACGACTTTTCCCCCTGTTCCAACACTGGACACCTGTACCGTTTTCCGACGTTTTTCCGTTTCTGTACCACACAAGCGAAGACACTCATGCCTGTTCTCGCGCGAGCTCTATAACATAAATGTTGAAAAACCATTGATTTTTAAGGATTCGGACAGCGCGCGCGGGTAGAAATTTTGAAAAGTCGTACAGATGTTTTTCGAGAACCTACGGTGCGATTCGTATGATTTTATGTTGCGCGGTGCTAAAATTCCTAAGAAACCCAATGATTTTTGAAGATTTCGGCGTGCGCGCGAAGAAGAAAAAACGAATGTGTCCCACATGGTATTATTTGACAGGGATGATGGCCCTGGCAGGCGCGCAACCTTTGTTGCAGAAGTTCGAAGCACGTGAAAAAGTTGCTCGCAAGAGCCCGTTTGACAGAAATGTTGAAAAAGTATTGGGTTTCCTAAGAAATCCGCAAGAGCGCGCGGGGTGAATTTTTGAAACCCTTTTTTTGAAAAACCATTGGGTTGTTCATGTTTTTATGTGAAAATCGCTACGAAGACTAAGGTTTTGGAAGGATTTCGTCTTGCGCGCGCGAGTGTGCACTTCGTGTCATTTTTTGCAAAGGATTCTTGAAGTTTGGTTATGTTAGAACAAGAGATTTCATTGTATAGTGTTTTTTGCAAGGGAAAGCGGGCGTCAACAAAACAACCGGATCCGGACCAACCCGTTTTGCCTGAGACTTCCTCACGAAAATGATGAAAATGTGGCTGCGGCCTAGGCGCGGCGGGGGGGGCGCGCACCAGGGGTCCCAACAATAATTATTCTTTAGAATTAATAATGTTCAACAACAACAACAACAACAACAAACAACAAACAACAAACAACAAACAACAAACAACAAACAACAAACAACAAACAACAACACACAACAACAACAACAACAACAACAACAACAACAACAACAACAACAACAACAACAACAAGAATCCGCACCGCGGAATTCCACATCAGCCACGCACCCAGGGACAGTGAATGACCGTTCGGCCCCCTCACTCTGATTTGCACTACTACTGCCACTTGCCAACGACTAAGTGGTAAGTCTCTCGTTGAGAACTCCCAACAAAGGGGAGAGGTTTGCAACAGCATGCATGCAAGGGGGCGTCGTGGTAAACCTTCGACCTGTCTGGAAGGCTTTGGGGGTCTCCAGGGGCGTTCTTAGGAACATCCTTGAGCTTCTAGTTGGAATATCGGGAGATCTTCAAAATCTGTTGCGGCCGTCTTGGCGCGCCTTGCGACTCTATGAGGGCACTCTTCGGCCGAGGAATGACCCTGGAGCGACATCCGGGGACATGCTGCCCCATTGCGGTGGCGTTCTTTCCGTATGAGCTCGCAGACACAGAAACGAGCACGAGTCATGGCTGAACACAGCGATGCTACAGACACTCGAAGAGCACAGCGGTGCTACAAGTACTGGCAGAGCCGAAGGAAGCCTGGGCACAGCAGAATGAGAGTGCTCGCACGCTATCACACCGGTCGCTCCACGACTCTCCCGCGCCGCAGTGACGGGAAGAGACTCAACCAACGGAGAAAAAGTACGGCCACATGGGCCGCGCGAGAGCAGCGACTTGCTCGGTTGCGCATCGCATGTGCATCTACAGCTCTCCCGCACGCGCGCCTCCGATGGAGCGGCCAGGCGGCCCCGCTGGCCCGCAGCCGCTCGCGCCTCCCAGCTTTCCTCCTCCTCCTCCTCCTCCTCCTCCTCCTCCTCCTCCTCCTCCTCCTCCCCCTCCCTCGTCCAGCTTTTCCCCCTCCCAGCCTTCCACCTCCCACCCTTCCCTCCTTTCCCTTTCTGCCTCAAACCCCCATTCCCTCCCTCGCCCCCCCCCCCCTCCCCTCGTTGGATTTGCACAGCTGCGTGATGTTCGCCACCCTGTGACATATATATTAGATTACATACATAGACATTGGGGCAGAAACTATCTTGTACAGATGCTAAAATTCACCGATGCGACCTCTGGAGCCACTCATTCCTCAAACATGGCAGAACGCTCAGCTTGCACGCGACCAAAGCTGAAACTGCGAGGGCATCTGCCGCTGCGCTGCTTGCACATGCCATAGTACAGAAACCTTGCGTGGCAACTCATGGGAGCCTCCCATACCATCTTGTCCGCTCTTGCGAATCGACGCTAGTCAACGCTGAATCGACGCTAATCGACGCTAACTGACGCTAACCGACGCTAGACGACGCTACGTCGGCGCGACCTCATCGACTCTCAGACGCTAATCGACGCTAATCGACGCGAAAGACGGAATTGAGAGGGCAGACTCCAATGATTTGCTACCGAGGAAACCTTGAGAAGGTGCTCTCCAGGTTGCCGACAAAGGTGCCGCAGGCGCTCATGAGGCGGACGGACAGCAACCACGACAACATGTCCCCGGAGCTGGCCTGAGCGTATCCAAAGTCGCCAATGGTACCAGCGGCTACATCTTTGTCGGAAAGCGTGTCTGACAAGCTATGGAGCAGGGGTCCACCAAGACAGCGTTTTGCGTGATCGGCTCGCTTTCGTTGTGAAGACGTTTTGAAACGAAAACGGCTCGTCCGATGGCCTAAGGCATCGTTTGGCGCAAATCCGAAGCCCTGCTTGGCCGATGGTGGGCACTAGAATGACATTAAACGGAAACAAAGAAAAACGAAAACGATCCACGAGGGTGCCAAAACAATTTGTTGGTCGACCCCCGCAATGGAGCTGCGTGCCCGGGGCCACGGTATGGATCCTCGCCCGTCGCGAGCGCTTTGTCGCCGCGATGATGTCAGCGTCGTCGGACATCACGAATACCAGCGGAAGCTCCTTGCTCCGAGAGGCGTCGGTCAGCTGAGGCTCGTCCTCCATCATCTGGAGCGCCACATCTAAATAGTCGTCCAGGCTCTTATTAAAGCCTCCCGCGATGGTGTCGTGTTCTTTTATCCAGAATGGTGTCAGCTTGTCCCCGTGGCGGACATGGACCGCCGCGCAAGCGGGCCCTCCTTTGGACGCGGGCCACGCTTGGTTCACAGAGCGCCACTCTGCTTCAAGGCGGGCAACCTCATTTCGTGTCTGCGCATTCTGACGGAAGAACAACATCTGCCACATAACACGTAAGTCGCCAGCCATGAGACCGTCAAATGGCTTGGGCATGCGGTGACGGAACGGCAGAGCCATGTCAGATTCGTCCACCACGTTCTTCCCCCAGTGCGCAGAGTCCATCATGCAGCTGGACATAGGCAAGAAAAAACAATCCTGCCTCGTCATGGGAGAGACTGCGGTCGCCGTCGTCTCGCCACTGGCGGCCATAGGGGATACCTCCAACTCCCCACAAAACGGACTGAAATACTCCATGGGAAAACTGCTCAAACGCGGATCCGACCACACAGGCAGAAAAGCAGTTCGCTTCTTGGAATCCTGAACGCCTTTGACCCAACGCTCAAAACCGAAGTAGAAGTCCTCTTGCGTGGCCTGCCCGACCCAGCCGCTAGAGGTCTTAACGGTGGCGGGGCACTTGTTGGGATCCTTCGTGTCGACAGGGAACTGCAGCGAGTCCAGCAGGAGAAAGTGACGGAGAGCAGTGTCGGGCACGCGCCGAAGGACACACCTCGACTTCCGCCTGTCCCCGCTGCAGTGGCTGAACCTCCACTCCAGGCGCGGGATCAGAAATTCATCGATCGCTACGCTTATCGTCTTCAACGGCCCCGTCACCGCTGCGCGCGTCGCGTTGCCCGCGGTGGCGGCGCGCAACTGCTCCACGTAGTCGGGTGCGCCGTCGTTGGGCGGATGACCCACCCGCAGCGCCGCACAGAGGCGGTGGTGCTGCACGAGAAGCTGCAGGAGCAGAGCTGCAGAGGCTGGACGCGTGGTGGTCGCCATGGGGCGGTGCGCTGCACAGAGTAGGGAGAGTACGGTGTGATTGGCAGATGCGGCCCGGGCCACACCCTGAACCACGGTGCTTACTGCTGATGACAACGGCCACGACGATGGGGATAGTGATGGTTATAGGGTGGTGGTGATGATGCTGATGATGACGCTGATGCTGATGCTGATGATGATGCTGCTGATGATGATGCTGATGATGCTGATAGTGATGATAGTGATGATGATGCTGATGATGGTGTTGGTGATGATGGTAATAACGAAAACGGTGATGATGATCATGATGAGGAGGATGATGATGATGGTGATGATGGTGGTGATGATGAGGAGGATGATAAGGATGAGTATGAGGATGGAAATAATGAAGAAGATGATCATGATGGTGATGGTACCTGAATGCTTTTCGAGATTGCATGGTCGTCGATATCAAATTCTGTTAGGCGCTTTTGTTGTCTTTTGGGGGGGGGACTGCTTTGGGGGGGGCATTTGGGGGGCCTGTTGAAGGCCTATTGGGAGCCTCTTCGGGCCTCTGGGGGATTTGAAGGGGGCCCTCCTGGGCTCCTCCGAGGGTCTTGGGGGCATCCGGGTGCTAAAGGCGCTGCCCGTTATTGTCCCTTCCTCCACTTTCGCGATCTGGACCCTTCCTGGGGCACATTGGGGACCCTCTTGGGGCTCTCTTGAGGCCCTCTGGGCCCTCTTGTGATAAAAGTGCCTGCCCTGCAGACCTATGGAAGGATACATGCAACAGCACGTTATGATTCCACGATTCCGAATGATCGGGTAGAAGAAGACGACGCAGGTCTCCCAGAAGCGGTTCACCATCGCCGCTGTCAAGTTTATGGCAGAGTCCGCCAAGTTTCTCCGTGCGCAACGACACACAATCCACTAGCTCCCCCTGTGAGGGCTACTGGGCTGCGAGGATCGGGCTTTGGCAACGTAAGTACAGTCGGGGCGTTGACCTAAGGAACCCCAAATAAGGAACGGGGCCCCTTCCTCCGATAAGTTGAGCTTCGATTTCCCATGGAAAACCTCAGGAAAACAGAAGGCAAACTGCAGAACAATCAAGGAACACCGAGCCCCTCCCCAACGAAAAGGGTTCCTTCCTCAGGGCCCCGACTGTACCAGTCCTGAGCTCCTCGGTCCCAGTCACAGTCCCAGTGCAGATGATCAGATCTCAGGTTTCCACTGGCCATCGCTCGGACGTCCACTCCCTGTGTTTTTTGTCGGGTTCGTGCGTGTTTTTTTCGCCAGATGATCAAGGATGCTCCTCGATGGTCCTCGCCGAAGGAAAAATGCACACGCCCGAGCGATGCCGAGTCCAACTCACTGCTTCCAACTATTGGACCTGTTGCAGAACACGCGACCTCCGTGGGCAAAACCGGACCGTGGCCTTCCCCGATGGGGGTTCGCAAAAGCTCCGGATGAATCCTCGGACGCGTCAAAATACTACAGCGTCACTCTCCCGAAGCCACAATCCTTCGTAAATCAAAGCAGTTCCGCGCACTCGAGGCCAGAAAACCCCTTGCAAACTACAGCAGAACCGCGAAACCCGAGGCCAGCCGCTGGTAAGTTACAACAAATCCGCGCTCCCGAACACACACAACCATTTGCAAACGACATCTGGTCCGCGCTCCCAAGGCCACAACCTGTTGTAAATTACAACAGGATCGCGCTCCCGAGGCCCGCATCTCCTGCAAATGAGGACCGGTCCGCGCACCCGAGGCCACAGCCCGTTCCCAAGTACCCCGATCCAGTCCCCCGCAAATCACAACACATCACATCGGCGCTCTCAAGGCTTGCGGCTGGCATGCTGGGTGACGCCGCGACGTGGTCGGTGACGCACCCCCTTTCGATGGCGGCCTGACCCTCTCGGAAGAGGAGAAGACGGAAGAAGAGGAGGAAGAGGAGGAGGAGGAGGAGGAAAAGGAGGAGGAGGAGGAGGAAGAGAAGGAACCCCAGGGGGAGGAGGAGGAGGAGGAGGAGGAGGAGGAGGAGGAGGAGGAGGAGGAGGAGGAGGAGGAGGAGGAGGAGGAGGAGGAGGAGAGGAGGAGGAGGATGGAGGAGGTGGTGTTGTGCCCGCAGTGCCCCCCTTTCGATGGCGGCCTGACCGCACGAGGGGCACGGCTCGATGGCGGGACCGACTGTGTCGGCGACACCCGCCCCGAGGAGCCGACGAGAAGCACGCAGTGAGCTGCAGAGGCCGAGGATCGACCGGCGCCGCGGCCACCGTGCTCCTGGGGAGCCACACGAGCGGGTCCACCGGGGGCCCAGGCGCCAGCTCGGATTGACTACCTACCGGACCACCCTAACCCAACCCGAAGACCCGAATTTCGGGTTGGGGGGGTAAGGTTTCCACGTGTGTTTTTTCGACGTTTCCAGACCCCCCCCCCCACTGGAAATCAAGGGTAAATCTGAGCCTTCGGGTTGGGTTGGGGTGGTTTGGTGGGTGGTGACGGATTATGCAGGGAGAGATTGGCCGCGGCATGCACCGCCCGCCCGACGAGACAGGCGACGAAGCGGCAGTTGAAAGTGAGGTGGTAGGCCTAACCCAACACTGCGCCTGAGGCGCAGGATTCGGCTAGGCCTGTCGTACCGCAGTAGCGAAAAGGCAAGAGAGAAGAGATGGCCCATTAAGCGGCAGGATGGTCGCATCTCAAGAGTAAAGGGTCGAACACTTTCCGCACCGATGCTGGGTAGCGTGTCGCGGCGCGACACGGTCGTATGGGCGGCCAGACGCTAGAGCCCAAACGGCCGCGGACAAACTCTCGCTACTTCTCGCCTTTGCCCCTCCTCCTTCAGAGTGGGGGGGCGAAAACGAAGCGCGAGTCCGCGTCCGGCCTAATTCAGCGAAGAGGCTATAACACAAAGCAAATGCAACAGCACGCGATTCTAGACCGCAGCGGACAACCGTGGGATTGCAGGCATCCAAGTTGTGGGTTGCTGCTAGCGCTTCAGCCGAATAGCTAGAGCGGACCTGTAAGCGGTGAGACTTGCAGCGCGCGTCGATAAGATGGACGACAGGTTTACCAGCATGCGGGTGCCCAGGCCGTAGCAGGTTTGCCCCGCGAATGCCATAGCCTTCTACCTCTTCACTGGCATCGTCGTTTAAGCGTCGATAGTCCGAGTCGCTGCGCAGGTCTACCTCACCAGTTGGTGCCATCGTTCTATAAACGATCTTCTGTGGGAAGGCCCACAGCTTCCTGGCAATCGCGCTGAGTCGTATCACTTGTATAGCGGTCGGTTCCTGGACACGCTGTATGGGTACAACGTACACCATTAGCAATACTTGTATAATTCGGGCGTAAGCCACAGCGCCTCCGAGGCTGATAAACATATCAGTAACCATATTGGATGACGCCCTGGGAAGGCCGTGCCGACGCCTCTCGGGGGGCCGTGGCCCACGAGGGCGGCCACGCACGAGCCGAAAGGGCAGGGTGCAGGGGCAGCCTCGGAGAGCCGCTCGTCCTTGCTACGGCAGGTTCGTGCCGTGTCGACCTGGGCGTTGGTCCCTGACGCCGCGAGGATCGTTCAACCTTGAACGATCGGCCGTCTCCGCAACGTCCGATCGTTCAACATCGACCGATTCTGGGCCGCCGTCGGCGTTCAACGTTGAACGTCGGCGGCGGGGTCGCCGCCGGTCGACACGACGCGAACCTACCGTAGGCGCTTGGACTGCGTGTTCGGAGGGCGACGGCGGCGGGGCTGGCCGCGCCACCCGCCTCGGGCGTGACCCGTCCCCCTTGCGCGGCCCTCGCCCCGCTCGGGGCTCGGGGTTCGGGGCTCGGGGCTCGGGGCTCGGGGTTCGGGGTTCGGGGCTCGGGGTTCGGGGTTCGGGGTTCGGGGCTCGGGGTTCGGGGCTCGGGGTTCGGGGTTCGGGGTTCGGAGTTCGGGGCTCGGGGTTCGGAGTTCGGGGTTCGGGGCTCGGGGTTCGGGGTTCGGGGTTCGGGGTTCGGGGTTCGGGGTTCGGGGTTCGGGGTTCGGGGTTCGGGGTTCGGGGTTCGGGGTTCGGGGTTCGGGGTTCTGCACTGTGGCACGATTCGCTGAACGGTGTCCCCGTTTATGGCTCCTTTCGCCAGCGCAGTCGCCCTCTGCCTGGCCGCCGACGCGAAAAGTTTGGATGACGACGGTCGGCGTCGACGCCGCCGCCACCAGCGGGCGGCCGCCGCGGCCGCGCGGGGGGGGGCGCCTCTGCCGTCGCCTCCGGGGCGTGCCGCCTGCGAGCCGTCGCCGAGGGCCACCCTCGCGCCCTCGTCGTTGGCCTGCTGGCGCCGCTGGCGGGGCACGGCCGCGCTGGGCCCCCGACCGCGGGCGCCAGCGACGACGACGAGGATCGAGGAGGATCGAGGAGGCGGATCGAGGAGGCGGATCGAGGAGGATCGAGGAGGAGGAGGAGGAGGAGGAGGAAGAGGAGGATCGAGGAAGCACATCGAGGACGGTCGAAGGAGGAGGACGAGGAGGAGGAGGACCGAGAGGATCGAAGAGGATCGGGGAGGGTCGAGGCGGAGGAGGAGCGCGGAGAGTCGAGCAGGGTCGAAGAGGAGTCGAGGAGGATCGAGGATGGTCGGAGTGATCAAATCTATTATAGCATGCCCTCTTGATTGCATTTCTTCTCTTGGACACCGTCGTCCTTCCGTCCGCGCCCCATATCATGTCCTTCTGTGCTGCCTCAGATCAGCCTCGAAGGGCGTGCAACGCGTGTGCCCTCAGATTCGGCTTCAGCTCAGGATCGCGTTCCTTGTCAGACTCATATCATCATCTGTTTGGGATGAGGCCATCGATCTCGGGATTTGATTCGGATGGGTTGGGTTTGACCGTGCCCCCGCCCGTCACTCCTCTGGAGGATGGGCGGGTCGGACGAAAGGGGGAGGGGGGGGAAAGGGGGTGTTACGAAATCCGCTTCGTGCAGCTGTTTGCCACCCCACTGCCAGGCCCATTCCTCGATACGTGGGCGCCTCCCGGCGCCAGGAGGCGCCAGGAAGACCAGCAGCTAAGTCGCCATGTGATGTCATGTATAGGGGGAGGTGTTCCCATGAATGCATTCCATCAGCGACGCCTCGCCGAGAGGCTTCTGGGGGCCGGGAGAGGGGACCACCGTCTCGAGCGGCCGCCAGAGG